ATATTGCAGACCAAAGTGCCTTAGTTAATGGGAAAGTCTTAACCCACTACTTCTGTTCTAGTGAAAATTCTAATATCGGTCTAAGCTACTAAAATAATTGGTTTCAGAGTTATTTTAAGCACTTGGTAAATGTAAAACTCTGTGCAAGTACAGTAGACTTGGAGTTTTTTTCTGAGATAAAATTGGGATAACATTTGCATCTGTAGGCATTCAGGTTAACCTTGAGTAGAGAGACAGGCAGACATACAGTTCAGTAGTTAGCCAAAATTTATTAACTTACTGTAGTAGCTATAATGTAAAAATAATTTTTCACAGTCATATAAACTTTGATGTGGGTTGAAGTGTCTGTTTCCCTTGTGTGACTCAGCATTCAGGATGAAATGCAGGACAGTGTCTCTTAGATAAGCTGATTATTGCGCAAGACAGTCATATTGGCTTTGCCCTTGATATGCCAAAGTAGACCAAAGTTGTATGATTAATTTTATGCAGTGTAACTGCAATTTTTAACTCTTTAGCTCTCATTCTTCATTTTGGGATATTAGTGAAAATGGCTGTGGTGCCACAGGATAACAAACTGGTAAAGCCTATTTGGAATGTGAGTAAGTGAGCCATACTGGCAGTAAGCAGAGTAGTGAAGAGGAGTGTTTTTCTCTTAGTTGACTCCTAGGCTAAAATTAAACAGACTTAGATATTTCCACAATTAGGGATTTACAATACATCTGCTTTTTGTCAGATAGCAGAAAGAATTAGTTACTTACATACTTGTATAAAATAGAACTCTTCACTTGTGTGTAATATGCAAATCTGCATTTTTATAGTATGCCACAGTGAAAATGCTCTTCAAAACAGTAAGAAAAAAAAAGTAAAAATTATATTTATTCTCTCAGATTTCATTTAACATAATTAGGTACTAAATGAATGATGCTAACTCAATCTTTTAGCATCTACATATCATTCATGTGTCCTGAGAGATCTAGGAGTCAGGAGTGCTCAATGCTAAAATAATTCATGGAGCAGTTTATATAGCAAGATGGTATAGTATTTTTAAGTTAGTTATTAAAAATATACAAAGCTTGTCAGAACTAGGTTTTATTGTAGGTCACTCCATTTGTTCATATTTGTGATCCCTCCCTTACAGAAAATGTACATCAACTCAAACATCAGTTCCCCATAGAGATTTTTCAGTTTATTTTAGAGGGGAATTTCTGAAATGTGTTACTGGAAGTTTTTACTAGAAATAACATTAAGGTATGTTTTGATACTGCATAGACACAGAGCAGAATTAGGAAAAAATTCTGTTAGAGTGGTGGTGGTCCTTTACTGCAGCAAAAATTCATTTTCAGGTGAATAAATGGCAAGACTGTCTGCTCTTCCTAGTATTTTTTTTTTCTCTCCAGATTATTTGGAATGACTCAGTATTGCAGTTTACTCATTCACAAGATTTGTGCAGCTCCAAAAAGTGTTTTTTGCCCAGGATTGCCACCTTCCTTGTCCTCCCCAAAGTGCATTCACTTGTACATTCTTTTTTCACTGTCCTGCTTCTTTCATTCTTTTCTTGTATCTCTTTGATGTTTGAGGCTCTTTCCTGTTCTTTTGTGATGACGGAACATTCCTCAGCTCCACAACTCTACTGCTGGACTCTGCCATATTTCACCCATCCTGCCTTTCCCTCTGGCCTCTGTTCTTTGCAGCTGTGTTCCCAGGGTGGGTGTCCTCTCCCACCTCACCAGAAGTGTACCATGTCACCTGTTCTCCCCCTTTTTCCCCCCGAGTTTCTATGGGGGAGCCCCAGGGTGGTGACCCCTCTCCTCCCTGCTCCTCCAGCAGCCTGTGCTCAGCACTCCAAGTGGGAGGAGGTGGCAGCAGGGCCAGCCCAAGCAGGAGGCCCCAATTATCTTCTGCAGGCCCCCCTCCCTTGGGAAGAAAAGTGCTGTTGTTGCAGCTGTCGTCATCCAAGGAGATTTTGCAGAAAGCTCATCCACAGGATGAGAGTGCCAAGCATCGCTGTGCTCTGCTGCCTTCCCTTCGTCATCCTCCTCTGCCTGCCTGCAGCCTCCCTGCCTTCCTTCAGGAGAGGGTGGGAACTTGTGAAGGAAGGAAATTATTTGCCCAAGCTGAGCCTGGCAAATGACACCATGACTCAGGAAATTCTAAAACATTAAAGATTACACGGTGTTGGGTCCAATACTTATTTTTCAAATCTGTTACTAGATAGATGTAATAGATAAGTCTGGCCAGAACTGAGATCTGGAAAGGAAACCCTAGTATGCTATGGGACTAAGGTCTGCTTTTTTTCTGAAATGTAAATTTAATTAAAAGGATAAAAGAGGAGGGGAAGAAAAGAAAGTTCTCCACAATCTTAATGAAATCCAGGGAACGCGAGCATTGCTTTTTGATGAGACAGAATAGCAATTTTTTCTTATTTTAGGCATGTGAGGAGTCCCACCACCTTCAAGCTTGATTCTCAAATTAGAAATAACTACCTTAAAAACTTGGAAAGATTCTTATTTCTTGACATGAAAACAGGAGGCAAATCTGAGAAACTTTTTAAAATTGATATTGTTTTGAAGAAAGCTGTTACACGGAAAACAACTTTACATAGGTGATTAAACTGCCCTTAAATATAGTGGCTGAGTAGCAAACACAGCAGTAAATTCAGTAATTTGGTGTAACAGAAGTGGCTTAGTAGGAAGCTGAAGTTACCTGACAGTCAAACTGAAAGGCAAATAATGGAACTGCTTATCTGAGCACTTCTGCTAGGTTTTTTTGTTTGCTTGTTTTGTTTTATTTTTTTATTATCCTAGGCACGATCTATCAAAAGACAACTGGAAGAATGTTTGCTATTTGTGCTGCCTTACTGTAGAATTTTATGGGATTGTGCTAGTGTTGACTTCATTGAAGGGAAAGGAGAGTTTCAGTTCAAAGCTTGACTTACTTGTATTGAACTTCTTTGTTGTAGCTATTTTTTTTCAATAATCAAGAAACTCTGTTAAGTTACTAGAATGATGTGCTGCAGTATCACTGTATTTTTCTTTCCAGGAGTCTGCTAGAAATGTGGGATTTTTTGACTTTGCCTGTAGGCTGCCTTTGTGCTGCACTCATTGGGAGGTCTGTGTCCCACTTTCTGTATCACATGTATATTAAACCTTTCATTAAGTACTGCTGACAACAGGCGGTGTCTCTTAAAGATGCAGGAGTCTTTTACATTGGCATATAAATATCTTATAAAAGATAATGATTGTAACATATATTTTATCAATCCTCTGTTACCTTTTGCTTCCTTTTTGTAGTTTCCTGCACATCCTGCCACAAGGCATATTCACTACTCTTACTTGCATGTTACCCATTTATACTTGACATTGGCTTTTCCTTTAACTGCAGATTTATTTCTAAGGTTTATTTCTGACATTTAAAACCTTCAGCTCACATGGACTAGTCTGTGTATAGGAGTTCCTCACAGTGTGTGTTCCAACTCCAAGCCTGGGCTAGGCAGATGATTTATCTTTGTGTGTTTCCTGACTGCCATTTTCCCATTGTGCTCATCAGGCTTTGCTTGTGTCCCCCCAGGTTGGTGGGTCTTCTGCCATTTGGAATTCAGCTGGCTTTAAAATTTTGTTATATACAATAAACTCATAACTTATATTTTTTTAATTAATTTCCCATTTACAGTTTTGCTGATGTGTCTTCTGAGGCACATGTTTTTACTGTTTTTTGGAAAGTACATTGAATTGTGTGTCAAGCTTTCTGAATGTATTTGAATTTATTATTAAATTCAGATTGCTGCATAATTATGTTGTATACCACAGAGTAAATGTAGTGTATATTGCTTTAGGAACTATGATTCTTGGTATTATAGAACTACTGTAATTCTGTGGAATTTGGTGATGGGATCTTCCAGTAACCAGGATTTCTGTTTTAAATTTATTTTGTTACTTTTTTCATTATTTCATATATTAATATGTAGTAAAATTGCAAAGCTTATGTGAAAAGATAACTGCCTGCTACTAGTTGCTACCTTTGTATTCCATTAACCCATTTGCTTCTGATTTGTACAGCTCTGTAATTATGTGCTGCTGCAATAGAGACATTATCTGTACTATTAGAAAAAAAGCCTCGCCAATGTATAATCAGATTTTTAATGCAGGTTTAATGGAGATAGTGCTTCATAATTAGGGTTTTAGTGTGCATGGTTTGATGTACATGATAATATTTCTGGGTACTGATGTAGTTTTTCTCCTGTTTTGAGCCTTAACATTTTCCATGTGAGGTTTTCTTCACAAGCATAAAAAACCTAAAAGTTTACTTTTAAGAAATAAAGTAGCCCCTGTCTTGTAATCCTAGGTCCTAAAAAGTGAGATTTAAAGAAAATAAGGTATATTGTAAAGCTTATAAAAATCCTAAGAGCTCACAGTATGGAGGCTGTCAGTGTTGTCAGTTAAAAAATTTGTCTTATTTTGCCTAACTCATCCTCTAAAGAATATTCATGACCATGTTTACATGAAAAATGTTTGTCCTGAGCTTTGGGCAGAGCTAGTGTAAAGTAGGCCTGTCTTTATTAAAAGAACTCAGTGTCCTAGACCATGGGGTTTTTTTAATTTAGGTTGTAGGGAGTCGTGCATTATATTCTTCCATTTCCGTCAAGGATCTTACTGACTCATTTTTTGCAGAGTGTTAATGTTGGCTGAGAATTTGAGGGATGGTGTTGTGTGTATTCAGTTGCACAAGCAATTTTGTGAAAACAAGTATTTGTCTTGACAAAAAGTGGTAATAAGCAAATCAATATGCAAGCTGCTGCATTTTTTTATGTGTGCATATAGTGCTGGTAAGTTTCTAACTTTGAATATGTTATTGAAGTTTATTCTTTAAGTATTATTATTTATTATATATGTAGTCCAAGCCAAATAAAAGTCTGCATTAAAGATGCAAGAAAAAGCTGAATACATACAAGGAGATTCTTGAGCAGGTAGTTAATTTTTTTTTCTTTTTTCTATGGTGTGCAGGTGCTGTTCTCTTGTCCAGTGTACAAGGATTAGCAATTAATGTTGATCCAGTCCTGTATACGTGGCTTACCTACCAACCTCAGAAACGAGTCAGCAGACACATTCAGCAGGTATGTATTTTAGGAGGAAGAGGGATGAGGAGAGGGGAAGCTTTCACTTCTATATATGCCAAGTAGTTAATTTTTCCAAGTATTTGTAGTTTGTTACTGCTTCCTTGTGATTTGTTGCACATACTGTTGATCTTATTTTGAATTAATTAAAATGTTAAGTTGGCATATTAAAATTTTAATTTCACAACTTTTTAATTTTTAATTAAAAGAACAAAGAAGATGTGTTTGCAATCACCTTCTAGGATTATTATTTTGCAACTATTCTTAACTACTGAGACCTCATAAGCCATGAGTCTGAATAGTACATCATATTTTAAAATTTGTGATGGTCTATCAAAGAATTACATAACTGGTTATAAAGTCAGCACTCTTAATAAACCCTATTTTAAGAGGAGATGAGCCATCCAGTTCATAACTTGACAGAAGTGAGTGCTGCAGCAGATTCTGTATATGATGTCAAAATACATATTTGCATACGATGTGCTTGACACAGATAGGAGCAGCTAAGGCTGGGGGTCTGCGTGTGTAGTGGTTCCCTTGACCTGTTCTTAACCCTAATTTTCATGCCACATATTCCTGACCTGAAAAGAACACTGGTTTTCCCTTAAACTAAACTTACTTATGGCTGTTGTTTGGCAGAATTTCCTAGAAGTTAAATGAGCTATGGCTGCTCAAACTGGTGGTTCATGTCACCGGTGGTGTTCTGTCTCACTTATCAGCAGTAGGTTATTAAGTGAGAAATGTATAAATCTTAATATTTGTCTCATAGCTACAGAACACTGTGCACATCAGAGAAGTTTCATTCTGGGCCCCTGAAGTGGGAGGATAAACATTACTTGTAAACATTTGTTTCTCGTGTCCAGATTACCTTGTTAGGTATTAATTGTCAAACATTAATTTGAGTCCCATTAAGCTCATTCTGCACCAGCATGTGAAAAACTTCACTGTGACAGTGAAGCTTTATTATTGTTTTAATAAATTTACTCTGTTTTTAAATGTGTTGAGTTAGTCTTCATTCCTGCATCATAACTGGAGCAGCACATTTCCTGGTGTATGTCTTTTGCAAAACAAACCATTTATCTACTTTTTATTGTTACGCAGCCTTCCAAAATGTAATCAATCCTGTTTATCCTGCTTATTTTAAGTGTTTGTATTAAAGTCTGTCTCTAACATCAGTGCATTTAATCGGCTGTTATTCAGTGCTTTTTTCTCTTTTGATACTGGGTGACTAGATGGGTTAAGTGACTATAGGAGACTTGTTTGTGCCTGGTTTTGGCCATCCGTGGCAAAATTTTTAGCCAAATTTTGTTTGAGTGTTTATTTTGTAATTCGTGTCATTACCTCATACAGCCTTCTAAATTTTTCCATCATCTATTTCAGATTAAAATTACTCTATCACAGTCCTAATGTTATTAGCATTTAAAATGTCTTAGCAATTTGAAATTATTTAAAATATGAATTTATAAACTCAACTGTCAATGTCATAGCATTTGCATCATTAACATGACTGTGGTAATGAACTGCATGTAATAGTACAAATTAAATTGTCTGTAGCAGTCATGAAGAAACTTTATTTGAAAAGAAAACTATACCTGTAATAAATTACGCTTAACCACAGACTTTTTTCTTTATATAATGCTGTAATTATCCTAGAGTAAGAATTCTAGTCAAAGTTAGATCTTGTGACTTATTTTTGGAAAAATTCAGCTTGTTACCATAATCTAACTAGTATAACCAAACAAAAATAAAACCTCTATAAAACCTTCCTAATTTTTGAACATTTATCAGCTGTAAGATACAATGCTTTCAAGCAAGAGGTGTGGTCAAAATGTTATTGATTGGTAAAGCTCTTATCTTCCTCTGCTCTAATTGTCAGTCTTAAAAAATTGCAACAGAAAAAAAGAAGAAAATACTGTCTTTAGAAGTTCTTCGTATGATTTAGAGATCCTAAATATGAAGACATTTTAAGCTATAAAACAATGTTTTTGCTCTGTCGTTTTTAGTAAGTCAAAGTTGTCAGTTCTATCTGAAAACACAGAGTTAGAAAACCTTTCAGTATGGTTGGACCTGGGTACACATTAAACTTGTAATGTTAGCTCTTGATAAAATAAGTTAAATGAAAGTATTTATTCATTTATCTCTCAGTACAACTTTTGTCATGTAAACTTCTCCTTTCATACAGGATGGGGCTGGGATTGTCTGGCTCCCCACAGGGATGGGACACCTTTACATATTAAACTTCTTAATTTTTGTTTGCCTTTTAACTGTATTTCTGGGATTTTGAGTTTAGGTTTATAGTGCCAATTTGGTAGTACACATATTTTACATTTGCTGAAGTATTCACTGTGTCTGTTGGAACTGGTTTTAACTGAAAGCATGACAAGTTTGAAATATGGCACATAATAAGCTGCATTTTTACAAAACTCCTAACATTTCAAAGTCTCTTTGGCCTCAGTGACATTTTATTCAGCTGGAACAGAACAGTGACTGCCTGCCTTGCTGGGGTGTGGGGTACATGCAGCCCAGTGAGGATCACCCTCTTCATTTATTGCTGTGGGACATTTATTACTGCTAGGCAAAGCTCTCTTTGACCCTTGCTGCCCAGCAACTAAGAATTGTACTGCCGTTGTGATAACCAAGGCCATGATGTTGGTATTCATTTTTAGGAATGCTTTAGTCTGTATGGATTGTTTTTGTACATGTTGTGATAACCAAGGCCATGATGGTATTGGTATATTGGTTGGTATTCATTTTTAGGAATGCTTTAGTCTGTATGGATTGTTTTTGTACAATGAGCTGTAAGTGCAGCGACACTCGGTGTGGGGGCAGTTTGTGCACCAGTTGCTTATCTGCCTAAACCTCTTCTGTGTCTTTAGTCTGCATGCCCTGTTGAGAACGTAAATTCTTTATAAATGCTTATAAAAGGTTAATTTGACCAGAATTTAGCAAAGATACCTCTATGGAGCGACTTCTTGTACTCATGCTGTTTATAGCTTGTTAACAATGACACCCAAATGAAAAGCAAAACAAAGCCAAGTTTAGAGGCCTTGTTTTCAGTAATTTAATATTTTATTTTGACATTTTTTGGATTTTTTTTGTGAGTCTTGTGGCAGCAAGGCCTTGTTTCTAGTATTTTTAAGTATTATTTAATGTTTTATTATTATTATTTTTAAAGATTTTTTCAGTTGTTTAATTTTTGTAAACCAATGCTGGTTTTCGTATATTTGCTCTCTTGTAAAAGCCTGTACTTAGCTTTGCAAGATAAAAATTTGAGGAGTTTCTTTTCCTTGATAAGAAGCCTTAGCTATACTTTGACATGGGACAGTCACTATGTGTGATACTTTTTGCAATAAATTTGTAAATCAGTGTGTGTCATTTTTCTCAAATGCACATTAATGTAAAGCCTTTGTAACTTGTCAGTACTTTTCTTTTATTATTGATTTCTGTGAGCTAAAATGAATAATTTTAGGGAAAGTCAATTATCAAAAATATGTACTCACAGATGCTTAATATAGATCTGTTTTGCTCATATTTCTGTCCATTTTTTTGGCTGCTCCATACATGTGCATGTGTTACTCCCTAATTTAAAGAGCATTTCAGTAACAGAGTAACTCTAAACCCAGGAGGTCAGGGTGAACATTCTCAGTCATATATAGAAACAAGCAAGAGAAAGACACTGCTCTTCCTCCAGATACATCATGCTTTAAAACACTGGAATGTAATTTCAGAATCCAGATTTCTCCTTCTTTTCTTGAACATCTGTTCCATGGAAGGCTGTGTATCCCAATTGAAACCCAAGAATTTTTTCTGAGCTGTGTTGGTAGATTAAAAAATCAGTCATTAACAATTCAATTTAATCAAGTGTTTTTTTCTTCAACTCTGTTTTTTCTCTGCTCATTTTCTCTTTACCATTATCTCAGGAATTTTACTGTGTTATGAAATCTTTTCACTGCTTTGTGGAAAGTTCATCATGAATTGAGGGTAATACCAATCTTGATCTTCTACTTCGGGTGGTACTTTGTTCAGAAGTCTGCATCAGAGATCTCCCTGGAATCTTTGACTAAGATGAAACCATTTTATCGTTATGATTGGATCAGTAGGCTCTTGTAGAACACGTAGATCTTTTAAATTGTTCTGTCTTAGTGTGACTTTTGGAATATTGCATATCCTTGATGCTTTAAGAGCCAAATGTGTCTGATAATGAGTGGCATTGAATAAATGACAGAATGTAAGAGGAAGTTTCAGTACCCAAATTTAGGATTATTCCATGTTGCAGCAAAGCTGGCTCTTGAGGGCAGAGCTATATTGCTTCACTTTTTTACCTTGAAAAAATAGCTGGAAATGCTTTGACAAAGCAAGCATGTTCCTGTAGTAACCATAATTATCTTCTTGATGTGTAGAGATTTCTCAAATTATAATAGATTTTGATTTCTGATATTGCTTGCAGGTCAGAAGCACTGTGTTTATCCCTATCAGGATCTGTCACCTCTTATCCCATGGGAGGCATTTAAGTTCCTGAAGGATATAGAGATTAAGTTGCTTTTTGCTTAAGAAATCAAGGCTACATGGAACTCAAACATTATATCTTCTACTTTCAGAGACCCCTTGACACTGCTGATGGAAAACTTTCATCAGTTGGTGAAAATGATGGGTTTCTTGGCTGACATGAGTTCATCACATAAGTTTGAAAACATTACAGCTAATCAGCAGAATCTTTTATCTCAGCAGAACACTTTTCCAATAGCTGAAGTGCCTGCCTGAAGCAGTCATAGAATTTAATCTGAATTAGCAAGTCCACCTGCCAGGAAAGAAGGTGGTTTTGTGCACCCTAGTGGTGAAGCAAGTCTTTTTATTTAGCATTTAATTTTAATTAATGCATTTTTATTCATTCGTTTAATTTTAATTGGAAAGTAGGTCTAATGCCTTGCTTTATTTCAACTCTCTGAAACAATTTAGGTATACCAGTAATCTTAGAAATCAAAACAATTAAATGTAACTCAATAGACTAGCAGTGATTGCATTTGCATGTCATTAGAACTTGGTGCAAGGTAGACAGGGTGGATCCTCCTTCCTGTCACAGCTCCTTCTGGTACAGTTTGGACAGTCTTGTAAGCATATGCCAATATTCTTCTCTGAGCTAGACAGTGATTGCATGACAGTGATCTCAGATGTTCAGTAAACACCATGTGTTGAGCAGAGCTGCCATCCATCCCCACTCCAAAGACTTGGTTGGTTTTTCTTCCTGCTTGCTGGCTGCAAGCTGCTGCAGGTGTAACCATAGTTCTGTGTGAGTGCAGCATCATCCCTGTGGGATAACTGGGTTCTGTACCATCCCAAGGACAGCCATTCATGGCTAGGCTCTAGCTTTTGAATTTGACATTTCACAAGCCAGTGATAGCATTTAGGTTCCTATCTCAGAATATTCTTTTGCCTTTGGTTTATTATCAGGGAGGTGGTTGTATAGGCATCCCTTGAAGGAAAGTTATTTGTCTGTTTAGTTGTTCCAATTTTCTCTAAAACTCATTTCTCATGCTCCCAGATCTGCCTACAGTCTCTTCAGCCTCACATTTGTAAGAAATTGTAATTCAGAAACAAAATATTTAATTACAAAAAAAATCCCAAGGAAAATTAACTATTAATTCACCTAAGGCAAATTAGTCCTCTTTACAGATATTTTAGGTTCAGTTAGTTGGCATGTGTCCACACAAATCAGGAAATACTTGGCCTGTTGTATTTTTGGCAAGCTGTTTTTAGCTATTACTTCTCTGAGCCTTTCTCTGGTTTTAGATCTTTATCATTTCCAAAGTCATGTTGACCATGTAGTCTGAAGAAAAAATTATTAAGAATTGGTATCTGTTGATCTATTTGCATGCTTAAATGGCATATATATATGTGTGTGTTTTGTGTACACATACATAACACGGTATCTAATGTGTCAGATTATTTGTGCCAGTAAAGATTAAATTTAGAAAAGGATTGCTTTTCTGTTGTTTTTCAGCCACTGCTAAAAAACTAATTTTAATAATTACATTTGAAAAATAGTAACCTTTCTTCTTTTGAAGTACATGAATTGTTATTATTTTAGTATTCTGTATATAATTTCCAAAAAAACATTATTGATAAAACTGTCAGTATTCTAGAATAAAATCTGTTTTTCACTTTGTGTCAACAAAACAGTCTCATATAAAAGCTGCTGTAGTTCCAAAACTTTGTTACACATTCTGTATCTTCTATAACGCTACCAATTAGTAACCATAAAACTTAATCCCAAGTAGGTGTATTTCAGCTTTACTACATCCTACTTTATAACTGGCTTTTTGGATTCTTGTGATGAAATGCTTATGATTACATTAGCCTGCAGTGTCTCCTTTCCCATCAGATCTGCCTTCTCTTACAGCTGTGGGGCTCTTGTCATCTGCTGTTTCCCAAGCCGCAGTTTCCTCATCAGTTTGTGGCTAAACCCCAAATCTTGATGATCCTTTTCCATCTAGTTCAACGCTGATCTTTCATCTTCTGGATTCTTTTAACCAGAAATCTTATGCCAAAAACCTGACAAGATTGTACTGGGTGTCATCAGTGCAACATCAGGCTCGATTTCAGTAAGCAAAGATAAAACAGCTGTTTCATTGTCCAGATCAGCACTCAATATTTAGTCATAATTTTTTCCAGCTTTATCTGGCTGTGATAGCCTTGATGTTTTTCACTCTTTGACTAGTAATGTAACTTATTATATTTTGCTGATCCATTTCTTCAGTGGTTCAGAAATAGATACAGCTACTTCAGGCAGTATTTCCATCCTATTGTCTTTTGTACTGTCCTGTATTGTCTGGATTCATTCTTCAGAAATTCTTGCTTCACTTTGGCCAGTCAATGTTCTTGCAGTGTTGCATCCAGAATTGCCAAATCATGGCTCATCAGTTGCTGTCAGGAGAAAGCTGCAGATGGCTATGCCTTATGAGAGTTGTATCAGATAAATGGCAAGATTTTGAGAATAAGTAATGTAAAATGTCTGATGAAAGTTTACAAAACTTCAGGTCCTCTCTCTGTATGCAAGTGGGAAGTATTTCTATGGTGTAAAGGTTGTCTTTTCAAAGCTGATGGGGATTTTTGTTGTTGCAACTAGAGGGTATGCCGAGGTGGCATGTTACTGTATTCCAAGAAAAGTTTTTACTGCTTTTGGAGACAAAGCTAGTGACTGTACATTCAGAGGGAGGAGGAGGACAGATGAGAGTTCTGTTTGTCATTGAAATCAGTATTTTTCTATTAACTTTGCATACCACTGTATATAAATGGATTGTTTTCACTGGAGTAGGATTAAATAGTTAATTGTCTTACTTTAATTTACTTTTATAGTGGAAAATAGTGAAGGCGTTTGGAAGCCATTCTCCTTCAATTAAATGATTTTTCTGTTTGTTTTGGGGTTTTGTATGTGTGCACATATTGCACGCTGCTTGATTCAGTGATCTGTTTTCTATTGGAGAAAATTTACAAGCGCATTGCCCGCCTCACACGAATTTGTTTCCCACAGAGATTCCTAATGCAATGTGTGAGGTTTCTCATTACACAGCTATATGGATTACATTTTCACTCCAATACGAACAAAATTAAATTACACAAAAATTAAGATGCGTGTAATCCTAATGTCTGATCTTTAGAAAAAAACTTTGTCATCTTTAAATGATAACCGTCTGCAAAATCAGTGGTAGAAGTATTCTGCTTTTGTCAACTGGGATGCATCTGCAATTTACGTAGCAGCTGATGTTACAGCAAAATGTTAGGAACCAACTGGATAGCAACGTTGAGATGGAATTGTTTTTGATAATTTTGTCTTTTCTTGCTTGCATTAATAAAAGAGTAACAACAAAGCCATTAGACTATTCATTTGTTCCAGAATCCATGTGGATTAATACACATCACTCTTATCTAATATTAAAATAAGGATGCAGTCCTTCAAATTTGTTCTAATGCCTACAGGGTTGTATTTTTGTATATGTCAGCAGTTTCACATTTTGAGAAGGTTCTCATTTATTGATATGCTTGAAAGTTACAACAGTTCACAATCAGCAATCACAATCAGTTAAATCTTGTATTTTAAATGTTAGGAAGAAACACAATAATGTAGAAATATCAATATATCATATATTTTGAAGTTTAATGAAAGTTAATAAGTGTCTTGGGTCTTCATATCTGGCTAAAATTTTCTAGTTTCCATTAAACATTTAGATAATAATTTTACTTTGGTTGTCTGTCAGGTTTATTCCAATGGTTTTTGGTTGGCTAACAACTGTGGTACTCTAAAGTTAGTTTTATTTCACTTTTTTTGTTTTCATAGAGCTTTTCCTCAGACTGACAGGATTGAAATAATTACAAGTGCAAATCTGAATGTAGCATTCCATTTAAATTTGTCTCCAAAATATTTGTGTTCCAATCAGTGTTTCAGGTTGTCTTCTCTACATTTCCAAATACGTAGTTTAAAACATGTTTCTCATGACAATGCCATAATTTTATGTTAATGTGTTTTGAGTTTTAGTGGTTCACAAGGTATTTCTTTTTCTAGCAGTCTGTAGGAGCTGTTCCCCTTGGTGTGTCAGTAACTCGAAAGAAAGAGGATGAAGCATCAGTTGGAAGTGCACCTTTGGCAAGGCAGCAGTCAAACCAAGCCTCTGAGTATGCCAGCAGTCCTGTCAAAACAAAAACAGTAACAGGTACATCATTTATTGAAACTATCCATTCTGCATTTGCAGCCTCCCTCACTAACGTGCCAACCACAGCATACCAGCATCAGCTGTGCAAGTACTATGGAACAACTTCTCAGCTTTAGAGAAATTAAAACTTTTAAAATTAGAAATAATCAAATGTATAGTTTTCAAATACACGTTTTTGTTTACTCTCCTTTTTGTTTAGTGCTGTGTTTGGGGCCCTGACAATCTATTTTGTAAAATGATATAAAGGAGATGTGCTTTCAATAGAATAACTGCTATTCACCTTGATATTTAGTCCATAATTTTGTCAGAGTTCACACTGTGATTAATCTCTAATTTTAGTTAGTCTGTTTACATTGCTCAAAGTCTGGCATCTGCGGAAATCAAGATTTGTGCATAAACAGTTAAAATTTACTGTTTTCAAAATCACTCACCATAGAAAGTGCATTTTTTGGCACTTCTGCTTATGGAGTTCAAGAAATTATTTATTTTAGGAGTATTTTCTGGCCACTTAAAGAGTCTAAAGTGAAACTTCATTACCACTGATCAAGATAATATGGTTTTCTTGGAATTTGTAGTGTATTTATTCATATGGTACTGTCTGCAAGAAGTAAAGTAGGTGATCATCCAAAAAAAATTACTATCCAGCTGAGACTTTTAGTGATCATTCTGAAATGCACTGAACAAATTCTCTTTTCCTTGCATTGATGTTTATTTCCAGATTATCATGAAGCACTTCAAGATGTTATATGCTGAAACTAAGATTACAGTCTTGTTCATTAATAGTAGTTAAATGCTATTTTTGATTCAAAGGGGCTAACCCAGAAAATCTGTTTGAATATTACTGGGTTGTCATGTTATCACTGCTACTAAGACAGCAGATTAATTTCAAGGACTTCCATTTAATTCATAAATATTCTTAATTTTTGCCATTTGTCAATTTATTTTTACAATTCATTTATGCATTTCCTTTATTTTTGCCTGTGATGAAATGACTCTACCAAGCATTTTCTTCTTTTAACTGTATTTGTCATCTGTTCTGCTTCATCAGCATCACAAATGGTATGATTTGTTTCTTCTTGGCATTAGTTCTACCTGTGCCTGCAAAGCACAAAGGTCTGTTTCACTAGAAAAACTTTCATTATTTTGAATATTTGACATTCAAATCCAGCTGTTTGCATACATAGATTCTAGATTAGTTCTTCTTAATTTATTTAACCAGTTTATAAAAAGTAGGTATGTAGTTCACAGAAATAGCTTTGTATTTGGCTTTTGAAAACTGTCTGGTGCCTACTCAGCATAGTAGCCCTTTTAGTTCTTCAGTGTTTGTTAGTCTTCTCTTTGGGTATTATCTTTTCTGATCACACCAGAATATTCTACTAAATGAAAACATTATTGTTCAAAGTCTAGAAATGCCATGGATATCTGTTTTGCTTTTTGGGGGGACTTTGTGTAAGAAAGAATAAAATGAAATTAAAAGGCATAAAAAATGTCATAAAAGCAAAAGAGGGGTTTCTGTGCATCTCAGCTTCTTCTTCCATTTTAGTTTGAAGTCAATATCAAGATCTGTTTTCAGTTACACATTGCTGCAAAAATGGATAGTTCATTTGTAGATTTTGCTTGTTATCTGCCACTTATTTTAGTCATTCAGTTTATCCAATAAGTTAAGCCTAGATGCTGAGGATTTTTTGAAATTAAGTAGATATTTGGCTTCTCGATAAACAGTTTTGCAGCATGGAGTTCAATACTATGAAATGAGAGGTGATGGTGCTAATTCTCTCAAGAGATAACACTGACTAAGATTTTTTTTTTTTTAATTAAAGGTAATCTTTTAAGGAAGAGACTATTGAATTTGGTTTCATTAGTTTTCAACTGCTAAAATTGTTTAAAAATACTACTATTTTTTTCAAGTGAAGCTACATATACATATGAGAGGGTGTACTGGGTTTATTTTTAAGAGGCAGTGTGCCTGACACTACTGCGTTGAAGGGACAGCCTGTTGTCATGGTTTAGCCCCAGCCAGCAAAGCAGCCACTCACTCATTTCCCCAGTAACAGGATAGTGGAGAGGCTTGGAAGGGTAAAAGCTGGAAAACGTGTGGGTTGAGATAAAGAGAATTTAATAGGGAAACAGAAAGTCATGCAGGCAGGCAGAGCAAGGAATTAATTCAGTGTTTCCCATGGGCAGGGGGGTGTTCAGCCACGTCCAGGAGAGCAGGGCCCCATCAGATGGAACAGTTACCTGGGAAGGTGAACTCCATCACTCCACATGTCTCCTCTTCCTGCTTCTCCCAACTTTACCTTCTGAGCATGATGTCACATGGTCTGGAATATCCCTTTGGTCAGTTTGGGTCACCTGTCCTGGCTCTGTCTCCTCCCAGCTTCCCATGCGCCCCCATCTTCCTCACCAGAGTGGCAGTAGGAGAAGCAGAAAAGGCCTTGGCTCTGTGTAAGCCCTGCTCAGCAATAGCAAAAACATCTCTGTATTATCAACTCTGTCTGGGTTCAGCACAAATTCAAAACACAGCCATGTACTAGCCACTGTGAAGAAAATTAACTCTACCCCAGCCTAACCCAGCACACTTGTATTTTAAAATGTTTGTGGATTTGCTATACTCTGGAGATAAAATGGTGGGTATAATATAGCTTAAATATTTGATATTTATATGTAAAAATTGTGAGTAAAAAGATAAAATTAATGTCAAAGAGCAAATGCCTTGTATAGTAACAAAATCAATTGAAGAGATGCTCTCTGCTTCAGTGGACCACACAGATTTCCCTTATTTAAAAAGAGCATGTCCTCCTGCAGTGCCATGCAATTTCAGTCTCCTGAAATTTCATGTGATGTTGGAATCTTTTCCTTTAGAGTGTTCTTATGCCAGGTTTGTCAAAATTTGCTTTGTAGTGGAAAATTCAGGGGACAGTAGAAGTTAACACGTTTTGTGTCACCAAAATAAAAGGTCTCTGATTACAAAGCCACCAGTTACAGAGGTTAGAAAAGGTTGGATGGATGCAAGTTTGAAAGGAGAAGTCTCATTCTCAGAGAAGTTTAGTGGATTCTTTCTTTGCAAATTTGTTTCTTTACAGCAGTATAATATCTTGGAAGATGATGAATGAGTGACCATAGTTCATTAAACTAAAAATAGAGTGCCTGTGATTCTTTTTCTTTCTATTTTTTCTGGGTCACTCGCTCCCACCATCTTTCACTTTATTTCCTCTCTTTTAATTTCACCTATTTTCAGTCTGAGCTTTCTTTCATTATTTCTGTCAACTTTTTATATCAGGAATACCACACTGATTATTGATCTAGGACATCTAATGTTACAAATTCTACAAAAACATTCTAGGAAAGGAAGCAGTGAGCCTTGTATACCTCATATTTATTAATCATCAAGGCTATAGCTACACATGTTTTAAGTTGTAAGAAAAATGAGACCTTATATCGATAATATGTACATATGCACGGTCTTTACACATTGAAAGAGATTTTATCTTAAAATCATGCTGTTCAGGTGGTGATTTTGAATTAATTCTTTTCAAGCCTAGCATGATCTCAGCAGTCACTGCCTTGAGAACTGCTAGGAACCAACCCTATGTACTAAATCAATGCAGTTTGTAATCACAGCTGTAAAATTATTTCAAACATTGAGTTCAGTTGATTAGTTAATGGCTGCTGACACCTTGCCAAAAATGAAGTGTGGGAAAAAAAGCAAAATACTATCTGTATGATATCTGTCTCTGAAAATCCAGAGTTTCTGTTTTGCAGTCCCAAATTGTATGTATTTATAAATTTCCTTAACCACAGAGGCTTCACAACCAGAATAAGACAACAGAATATGTGATTTAAATCTGATATGATGTGGCTGTGAACAAGGAAGGGGATAAATACTATTGAATAAAAAAAAGGTTACATCTGTTTTTCTGTCCATCCACTTCTCCCATTCTCAGCAATTCAGCAGTTCCATGTTTGTTCAGTGATTCACAGACCTGTAGCAGTGCACAGAGGCAGAGCTCTCATGTCTGGATAGAGGCAAAATGATTGCTGTATTTGTATGTAATTCTGTAATATATGTAACATACTAATGCAGGAAGATAGTATGGACTGCAGTAGATGAATAGGGCAATCTTTGAAAGCTGTCTTGGGCACACTATTGAATAATGATTTAATCCCAAATGTCTGTTTTCACATTCAAAATGTGTGCTTGTTCATTACTAAAATAATCTGTAGTTTTCTTTCATATTTATAAAATTATTATAATTATTTTCACTGTGTTTGGAAAATACAGTATTTTCCATGATCAAAGATGAAATTGGGTGTGGGTGTTTTGTGGTTTGGATTTTTTACTGCCTTCTGGTGAAGTCTTTTTTTTAGCCATGACAGTGAAATATAATTTCACTAGCATCTACCACGATCTGACATTTATCAGTTTGGAAGTAACCCTGATATCACAGACACAAATTTAATACTGTCTTATGAGGTGTAATCCATTGCCTATGGCATCTAATTTTTCAGTTACAATGGGGAAGTAGCCTTACACATGCTCTTAGTATGAAGAAGGCCTTTAATGAAAGAAGTTACTTTAGAGAGGCTGAAAAGGTGATTAATTTTTTGTCACTCAGAATCTTGAAAGCTGTCTTTCCTTATAGTTAGAGAACAGGTAGGTAAATGAAATTTAATGTGTCTTCCAAGAAGTCATGGACTGTCTGGTTAGAGTGAGCTCCATAACCTGCTACAAAAAGAGCTGAAAACTGAATGTCTTGTCCCATGACTGAACATACATTTGTAAAACAAAATTTTGCTGATCGCTGTTATGCAACAGTGAGTTGTTTGCTCATGGTGCAGGTGGTGACTGCATTTCAGCCCTGTCATGAGTGCAGATCAGGCCTGTGAAGGCAGGCAGATGTTTTTCATTGCTCTGTCTGTCACCTGGCTCTTCCATTTTGTTGTCTGGTGGACAGGTTGGAAGAGCATTCGCAACAAAGAATTAAATGGTGGTGGACATG